GGATAAGCCCTTTAACCCATCTGCATCAATGCTGATACAACTTTAGATGTCAAGAAAAGAATAAAGTGCCAAAAATCATACCTTGCTTATCGATAACATCCATCAACCGGCAGCAAACTACAACTAAAAATCTAGGGGGGCTTTCCACAGCGCACAATATAAATTTTGAATCTAGTGCACTCACAGGTCAATACAGGTTTATGGTAGAGAAATGTCTGCAAAAGTGCCACGTATTAAGCACTCGTCAACTTCATAAATAAAGTAAAAGTTTGCATACAGTTATTTGTACGACACCTTTCGGTGAAGTGCAAAACAAACACTTAAGCAGCCCCACCCAACTGCACAATTAAAAGGATTATATACAATCTACTAATTTAAAGTCATATTTGACAGTAAGATTTTCAGATAAGAAATTGCAAATTTCGTTTCATATTTCTCTTCATATTAGAATGCAAATCCAAGAGACTTGTTGGGGAAAAAATTCTTCAAAAAATGAAGAAAATGTTGTGAATTTGGAGATGTAAAGTTGATGCAATTATTCCCTTAATAGGTCATATTCCTCTTAATATTAGAATATAAATCCAAGAGATTGGTTGGGAAAAATGATGTTCAAAAAATTAAAATTGTTGCCAATTTTGAGATGTAAAGTTAATACAATCGTTCCTTTAAAAGGTCATATTCCTCCTCTTAATATTAGAATGTAAATTCAAGAGGTGTTTTAGGGGGGGGGGGGGGGGAAATGTTTAAAAAATGAAAAGGGTTGCCAATTTTGAGATGTAAAGATGATTCAATCATTCCTTTAAAAGTTCATATTCTCTTAATATTAGAATGTGAATCCAAGAGATTTGTTGGAAAAGAGAAAAATGTTTAAAAAAGAAAAGAAAAGTGCTGCCAATTTTGAGATGTAAAGTTAATGCAATCATTCCATTAAAAGGTCATATTCCTCTAAGTATTAGAAAGTAAATTCAGGAGGTTTGTTAGGGGGGAAAATGTTTAAAAAATGAAAAGAGTTGCCAATGTTGATGCAATTGTTTCTTTTAAAGGTCATTCTCCTTAGTGAGATATACATGTAAGTGTAATGATGCTGCTACAACGAATTATATGATCTTTAACATTTACCCCAAGTTCCCTCTTCAGGCTCTGTAAATCCCTCACATGTTTTGCTAATGCTTCGGGGAGTAATCGAGACGCTGTTTTGGGATGCCTGACGACTACATCAAATGTATTTGGACCCTGTTCACATTTGTCAGACAGTGGTGGCCTATCTGGACAGAAATAAAGACTCCTACATGAGACATGGGGTTAATGTGTGTTCAGATGCACGTATGTTAACCAGATTAAATACGAATGTGACCAGTGCATTACACAATATTATGTAAATGTTCAGTTCAGGAAAAGAAGAAGAGAGAAAGACCATTGACTACACAGAGGAGAAAAAAAAAAAAAAACTTTATTGACAGACAAAATTAGAGGAAACTTGTAGATTAATGATTTCCCCCCTCAATAAAAACTGTCAAAAGTCCAAGGTAAGGTTAAAGTGGATTACAACTCATCTGTAAAATAAAAGTTAAAACGTGAACAGTGCCTCACACAATATGTCACACCATATCAGGTGTGTATTTCGTCTAGACAGGGCTAGGCGATAACAGGCATCTTCTAACCACATCTATAACTCACAACCCTCAAAAAATTAAAGAAAAAGGGGATCATGAACATGGATATAAAGTGATGAACCAAGTTGACCCTTGAAAAAGAGAGGGTTGAGGTCTGTCTATGTAACACAAAATTAAGCTGAATTATTTTCAGATGTGAACAGTGCCTCACACTCAAGGCCTGTGTAAATATCATAAATCACACCATATTAGTGAAGTGTTTAGTCTACGAACACCTGTGCATGCTAGATCATATTAGAGTAAACACACAGTGTGCATGGAGAAGACAAAGCCCAAACATCTCTACCAAAGTTGGCAATAATTAACCCCCTACAGTCCCATACATTAGGTCCCATAGGTCCCATAGGTCCCATAGGTATACTTTCATGTTACTTGTACTTTTTGTGAAGAAGATACATGTAACAACCTAATAACCAAATATTTATAGTTTGATACTATGAAACTACGGTCTTCTAAATTATATGGAGGATTTTACACATCTGAAGTAGATGTTAACTCATTCTTGACATCACCCAATCAGATATATTTTGTTAAATATCATTTAAAGTCTGTCTGTACTAGTTTGGCCAGCAGAGACGCCAAGTTCGAAGATCGGCAATGCGTGACATTTTCATGATTTGGCACGTGAGCGCGCATGCGAGGGTATAACACATGTATAAGGTATAGCGTTTTTTCAAAATCTAGTGCGCGCGTCGTGCATAAGAGCATTTTCAGACCCTCGAAATGCGTGATGTCACGCCTAATGCGTGATACTTGGTAGCTCTGGGCCAGGGGGATTAGACCTCCCTACAAGGTAACTGACAGGTGGTTGTTTCATCAAATCAGCTCTCAATTAAAATAAGAATAAGGGGATCATGGGGGATCAACAGTCACCGATTAGACATTGTTTGCTATGTACAGGGCGCAAGTAGTGCAGTGTGGCTTTAATACTTGTTAAATCATCACTATTCAACAATGTGCTATAAAGAATAATACTAAATTAATCATTTATGGTCCAATAGGCTTTAAGCTCGTGACAGCCTAGTTCTAAATGACTGATTTGCTAAACCTCACACCATGAATAAAATAATAAGTGTTTGCTTTTATATGAGCAAACAATGCTTCATCATAATCAATTACAATTCACACCAGTATAGTGATTTAATGTTAAGTGCCCCTGTTGTTGCATATCTATGAAATATATGCATGCCTTGAGTATATATTTGTCTCCAGAAGTATTTCTGATTTATACCAAATTTGATCAGTTTAGTTTGACAAGTATAATAATGTAAAAAGAAAACTATGAAAAACTAACAGGGGGATGTGAGACTATAGCCTTGTGGTTCATGAAAGACGTTACTACTAAGGTTTCCAATGGGCTCTATACTATTAGACTAATCAATGGATATTTTCAGTTGGTATAATACACCAGATTTAGTAGAAATAAAAGAAAATGTAACATGTGTTGTCCCACGTAATGAATCTTAGAAAGGTTAGGTTATCAAAGATTTTGATTTGAAATGTTTTCAAATACCTTTTAATTCATTTAGTATACATTACATGTGCTTTATCTCAATCAGTATATATATTTCCTGCACAATGTTAATAATACAAATGGATTCTGCTTGCATTTGTACAATATTTGTGCTTTCATGATGAATCTAAAACCAAATGTTGCTATAAACATTTTTTAATTTGAAAAGATAGCAGAAATATATCCTTTTTAGTTGAAAATGCCTTTCCAAAGTATAATCTGTGCTTAGGAGTATGTCTTGCTCACCTTAAAAGAGGATTTGCGCTCAAATTTTCATGCATGAGTAGGATTAAGCTGGCAGATATAATTCTTGAATGCGATTACCAAAATATGCGCAAATATCTCTTGAATATTTGTGATGCAAAAAAGCCCTAGAAAACAGGTAAATCATATGCTGAATTACATTGTAGCAAAAATCCATAAAACTGTGATTTTTAGATACATGTATATATAACATATACACCTACTTTTGGTACGTAAAAAGTAAAGATTAATATTTTGTTTCTTTTCATGCATGAATAAAACTGATATTGAATGTGGCCATTTGGTTTCCCTCATGTGTTTTACTTAGATAAGCCATTGGAACTTGAATATGATGAAATCAATATGATACCATAAAAAAATAAGAAAAAATTCATATTTAAAAGATTTGCAAAATCAAGGGAGTTTTCTTCATTTGTATTAACAGATTAGTATGGGAATATCAATTTCCCTCATCAAATTTAAGAATTGAATATTAGTAAGGGTGTGTGCTATTAAAGAAAAAATAACATAATGTTATGTTTAAATGTGATAAGTCTAGCATACAAGTGATGAAAATGGAATATGAAAGAAAACTGTGCCATGGTAAAGATTGAGATACAAATTATACCACTTCTATACTTAAAAATAAAATACTGTACCATGATAATTCATTAAATAAATCAATATGTTCTCCTAATTTGTTACATCCAGAAGTTAAAACTATTAAAGCTAAGGTTTTTGTTTAATATGCAACATCCCTACTCCATCAATTTTACAAATTTTAGGCAACAGAAAACATAAGGAAAAGATTCTCTCCTGAGAGCCAGAGTATTGTTAATATCTTATAAAATTGCTGCTGTTTGTTTTTATCAAAAATCAGCAAAGAAGTTTTGAAAGTGAATAAAATCCCCAATATCATATATCCTGTTTAGAGGGAGAAGAGCATTAACTCATATACCTGAAAACAGAGTTAACCCCCTTTTGATTGAGTGTAAGAATGAATAGAAAGGGAGAAGTTTTCATGAGTCAGTGAGCAAACGATTCCTCGGAGCACAAACTGTTAGATTTGAAGGAATTAACATATTTTCTTTTGTATGATAAAGGACAGAAAGGAGGTAGATTCTCCAAAAGGGAATCTTCTAAATCTCTATGAAAGAACTTTTGTCCACAATGAAACTACACCCGATTCACATGTATTTATCCCTGTTTAACTTTCCCAGATGAAGAAATGTGTTGAAATTTTGAAAAACTAGTTGTCAAGCTTTTGAATGTTAACTAAAGATGACTCAATAAAATTTATCAAACTGTGGAACTTTTTTTGTTCTTCATTATAAACTAAACTCTTTCTCTGCTATATATATATAGATTAAAATCCTAAACTGCAACATTGTTTTGATGATTGTCACAAAAGCTGACTATGGTAATCCACTGTTAGATCCCTTGTCAACCAAATCGGACAAAGAGTTAATATAATTTGTATCTCAATCTGGTATACACCCAATGGCACTGTTTCTCCCAAGTCCCGTTACCCGGTGGTTGATTAGTAAGCACTGCATGCATGCTAGACCCACCTTCTACTCTCAAACTCAAAGCTCGTCTGTGCGAAACTATCCGCTACCTCTACGTGAGCTTCCGCCGTCGTCCTTGTCGCGATCGACGAGTCCCCCATCGTACCATAGCCGGTCGCGATGGATTCGTCATTGTTCGCGGCGACCGATTCGTCGCTCTCTGAACGGGGTCTTCAAAATTGGAGAAATTGGAAATCGACAGTTTCAAACACAGGAAGAAAATGATTTGAAACTTGAGATTTTACCATAATGTATATAGTACATCATACCATAGTATTCCATACATTACAGCATACCATCGTACTACTGGTGGCGATAGATTTTCTGTTACTCTCCGAGTTGGATCGTCCACGTTAATGTTTATTTTAAAAAAGTTTCAAACATAGACATAAGCATGCTTTCAAATTTGAGAATATGTAACCACTTAAAGGTATTCTCGATTGGCGCTGCATAGTTCTCTGTTTTAGTCTCTGTCAAGAAAGTTTCCACAAAAAAACATATTGAAAAAAAGTATTAACAAGAATATCAATTCAGAGCAAATGTATAAATACATTTGTTTACATCCTAAGGGATACTCAAATTGCCTACAAAAGGCCTGTCATCATCAGTTTGAGATTGCCAAATATCCCGCTATTTGAACTATCCCGATTGCAAATTATCCAGTTAATTTGCGTCTCCATCAGCCCGAAGTCGCAATTAGCTGGATATTTGGTTGAGAAAATCATCCAAAGTTATCTTGGGCTAGATTGCAAAATATCCCGCAAGTTGTCCGGTGTGCCTTTACCAGCCCGAAGACTCGCACTATGCACGAACGCTGAGCATAATATCTCAAGCTAATTTCTCGAGCTTGAATTTCAATGTCAAGTCTCGAGCTGATGAACACGTGATTTGTAACTTAGGGATTATTTCCAAAATCAAAATTAGCAGGCTATTTGGCAATCTCGAGCTGATGACGACAGGCCTATAGTCATCCTTGGATTCAGCACAGTTAGTTAACAAAATGCTGAAAGCATTCAAAAAATGTAAGGCCAAGACGATTAATTAAGGGAGAGAATATATTATGTACAATTCCATCTATTGAATCCGCTAAACCACAACATCTCAACATAATCTTATATCTTATAAGATTGTTGACAGTAAATATGCCTCCTCCTGTGTTGGGTACACTGTACAGTTCCTTTTTCATCCACATTTCTATTCATCTAGGCCAAATTAGAAAAAAACATGTTTAGCGTCCTGTTTTTTCGAAAAATAGGAAGGAGAAGGCCTTTTTTTTTTAAATGGCAGTTAAAAATGGCCGCTCGATACATTTTCCCTGACAGTCGGGCTATTTTTCAACATGGCCACCGACAATTTTTTTTAGATCAGAAATAGATCAATTTGGCAGAGTTTTTTTATGTCTTTTTTTCTTTAAAAAAAATTTGAAAAATTAAAAAGATTTCAAAAAAATTAAAAATTTCAAAAAAAAAAAAAAAAAAGGAGGCGGCCCCCAAAAAGGAAGCAGGCGGGGACGCTAAACATGTATATATTTTTAATGGCCTTACATGCACAAAATATTTTGTAAATGCAGCGTTTTCTTGCATCGTATGTGGAAGGGCCACTATGTACATGTGGGTCAATTGAGAAAAGCCATGGTGATTACCAGTCAACCGTCTCTCTACACTCCACTTCATACATGTATATCTATCCATCCCTTCTCTGTCTCTCTCTCCCTCCCTCTCTGTCTCCTTCTCTGTCTCTCTCTCTCTTTCTCTCTCTCCCCCTCTCTCTCTACCTTGTATCCATCTGCCGGTACTACATAATAATAATAACTTCTTATACAGCGCTTTTCATAAGAGATTTATATCAAAGCGCCTTACAATACTAATGCAAGTAAAGTGAACAGAAAAATGACAAGAGAACAAAAGTGAACTTTTCAAACATAAGATAACAAGGTAAGGTAACAATTTAAGAACTAGGTTGAATCTGCCTTTTCCATTAGATTGGTTTTTAATTTTGATCTATTACAAAGTAACATCAGAGATGCAACGCTTGGAGCCTGCATGGAAGAGAATTCGTCAAACGTTGAGCAGAGCATGAAAAGGACCTATCACCAAAGTATTATGTTTTTGCTTTTTTAACGGTCAAGAGAGTTTGATTGCAGAACGAAGGGGCCTATTGGGTCACTTGAGAAAAGTCCAGGTGATTACCAGCCAACCGTCTCTCTACGCTCCAGTTCATATGTGTATATATACCTACAATGCATAAAATCTTGCCATCATCTCATGCAATCTTGACTTTTTCTAAGAATACCAGCACAAAAAACAACAAGGCTATAATGTAACTCTCTATTGGTTGCAGTTCTTATATAACACATTCATTATATAATGTGTTAGGAATTAATTTTTTCTCTCATGATTTTGCCTTCTTAAATCTCTTCTAATCATTTATCCATCCCTTTTCTCTCTATCTCTATCTCTCTCTCTCTCTCTCTCTGTTCCCCCCCCCCCCCCTCTCTCTCTGTCTTTGTCTCCCCTCCCTCTCTCTATCTGTCTCTCTCTTATATATACTCTCGGAGTCTCCCTCTCTCATTTTTTCTCACTCTCTCTCTCTCCCTCTCTCTCTCTCTCTGTCCCCCTCTCTCTCTCTCTCTCTGTCTCCCCCTCCCTCTCTCTATCTGTATCTCTCTTAATACTCTCCCTCTCTCACACTCTCTCTCACTCTCTCTCTCTCTCTCTCACTCTCTCTCTCTCTCTCACTCTCTCTCTCACTCTCTCTCTGTGTCTACTTTATATCCATCTACTACATGTGGGTCAATTGAGAAAAGCCTAGGTCATTACCAGTCAACCGTCCCTCTACACTCCACTTCATATATACCTTCATGCACTTAACACTCTGAAATCATGCAACTTGCAATGACACAATCATGATTTCTCTTCAGAATATCAGCACAAAAAAGGGCAAGGAAGGTGGGTTTTTACTCTCGATTAGGTGCAGTCCATATATTTCTAATTGACACATTATTATTTGTGAAAAATTCTTTGTCTCTCACGATTTTGCTTTTGTATCCCTTCCTATCATTTATCCATCCCTTTTGTTTATCATGTATTCCCCATCTGTTTCTCTTCATCTTTGTTTCTTTTTCCCTAACAGAGTAGATTAAGGTCTAGTTCTCTCTCTCTTTCTCTTCACCTCTTCCCATCTCTCTCTCGCTCTCTCTCTCTCTCTCTCTCTCTCTCTCTCTATATATATATATATACATGTATATATGTTTCTGTCTATGTCTCTCTCTTTTTTCTCTCTCTTTCACTCTCCTTTTCTCTCACCGTCCCCCCCCCTCTCTCTCCCCCTCTCTCTCTGTCTCTCCCTCTCTCTCTCTCTCTCTCTCTCTCTCTCTCTACTTTGTCCTCATCTACCCTCATCTACCCTTCTCTACCCTCCTCTGAAACGTGCATCTCACACTCATTTACTTGCCAAACCCCAATGCCGCAGTTTGTCACATTCCAGATAACGGTACAATATTCATGTCTTCTTCCATGCATCATTAATTAGGACCATGTACAATCGTCACCCACACGGTCATTGCCTAGTCCATCAAAAGCTGTCATCTGCATACATGATCTCCAAGTCCCACCGAACACTTAAAGGGCAAGTCCACCCTCAAACATTCCTAGCTCTTCAGCCCCTTCTGTTGACTAATAAACACGTACGCTGAAGAGGATTTGTGTCGACTTTTGTCGGATACCATATTTGGCAGTTTCATCAGGGACACGTTTCACAAAACTTGTCATCAGTGACAAATGATAGTTTTTGTGATAAGCTAGTGAAATCCTTGCTTCTGATTGGTTATCAGCAGATTTGTCATTGATTTTTGTCATTGAAAAAGGGCTTTGTGAAACAGGTCGCTTGTCTTTGATTGTAGCATGTAATCTCTCTCTCTCTTCTGTCACTCCATCTTTGTTTCCCAATCATCTCAATGTTTCTGTCTCTCCTCTTTTCCTTTCTATCATTTCATTTCAACCCCTCCTCTCTCTCTCTCTCTCTGCCAATCTGTCTCTTTCAGTTCCCATAAATCCTCTTCACTGTTTTTTTTAATTCTTTCTTTCTTGAAAATTGCCCTTTTGTTTTACATGAATCCCCCTTTCTGTTTCTCTTTATTTGTTTCTTTTTCCATAACAGAGTAAATGTCTCATTCTTTTTCTTTCTCTTCATCTTTTCTCTCTCTCTCTCTTTCTTTTTCTCTCTCTCCCTCTTTACTGGTCTTTAGTAATGCATTTTCTATCCTTGCTTCCTATCTCTCAGTCTCTCCCCCTTTCCTTCTCCGTCTCTATCTTTTCATCTCTTCCAGTCGAGCAATAACTCTCACAAGACCAGGACTCGTTTGCCGCTTCTGTTTACTCAGTTCCTGAAACGGCGCTTCTTCTTTCAATCCAGTTACTAGGTGCTGCGCACTAATAAGCAGGCGTGAAAGGCGCCATCTTGACAGCGTCACATGCTTCGGGCCCTACAGTTCCCATCCCTTTGCGGTGTGCAGCCCTAGAAGACGAGTATGAAACACCCCACTTGAAGATGCACTAGACGGTTTTACGACACATTCTCCCGCAATAGTTTTAGGGTGCGTTCAAGCGATTTTTTAAAAACTAGAAATACAACCAAGAATCGCAAATCAAAATGTCGTTAAAAAACATGGTTACTGCGGGAGAGCGTTCAAGCGATTTTTCATCAAAGCTGATTCTCGCTTGAAAATCGCTTGAACGCAACCAGGTTTTAAACTAAAATTCTTTGAAAAACGTGTTTCTAGGGTAAAAAAGTGTCGCTTGAATGCACCCTTACACTCATCAAATTTCAAATGTCAACCCTGTATCAAATACTTTACCTAAACCCTTAATCTGATCCTAAACCTAACCTAAATCCAAACCCTAATCCTAACACTAACTCTATATATTTGACAAGCCATTAGCAGTCCGATGCCTGAAACATACGTTTGCAAGACCATTGCCCTAGACAATGCTCAACAATGTTTCTCTTTTCACACTTTAAAACAAAATATTATGTGACTTACATGTATGTTTCAGTGATGATTATTGTTCCACTAAATAACTCCTAACTTCAATCCAGGACCCGACTCTATACCCAGCATTTACACCCAACTGTAATCCTAAACCACACACCAATCCCAATCACAACCCAAT